AATGGAGATGGGAAGCTGGATTCAAGGGAAGATTTCATTCAGGAGGTGCTTCACAACCTCAATTGCCGTTTCAGTCCTGCAAGGAAAAGCTTCAGCCTAGTTAGTGAAGGTTTCAGTAAAGACAAGCAGGTATTTGTAATTCCCAGGAGCCTGAGGCATCTCAGTGAAATCCACCTGCTGGTCATGTGGAGGCATTGCCCCAGTTTGCTGGAGTCCTGGGGGGGCTTCAGCAGTGCTCTTGGGATTATTTTTCTCATGGGTGGGGCAGCTCTTTTCCATTGTTGCAATAGTGGCATGGACCTTTGATCTAATTAAATGTCTCTTAACCCAGTCATATAACAGTATTGAAATCCTGTTGCTCTGTCTCAGTCCATTCTAAGAGGTGTGTGTCCTTTCCCTCTAAGGCTCGGTGTAATGGCTTGGCAATAATTCTGAAATTTGGTTTCCAGATGAGGCAAAAACCAGCCATTCTCGAAAAACCTCAGTGCTGTCTCCGGTTAATAGAGGCCGCCGATGTGCAGATAGAGTCTTTTTGGGCAGGGAGGAATTCTAGCTCTCCTTATCTTATTTTAAAACCAGATAAATCACATCCTTTTGTTTGACCTGAGCTTTTTCTTTTGAGACCCAATACCCTACATTTCCTAGAAAGTTCAAAACCTCTATGGTATTCCGGAGGCAGGCATACTCACGATGGCTAGCAATGAGTAAACATACTGGAAGAGTATACCATTGGTCACCATCAGTTGTCTCAGTTCCTCAGCTAGGGTGGGCCCAAAAACAGTGAAGTTATTTTTAAACCCCTGGAGAAGGACTTGCCAGAAGAGTTGTTGCCTTTGTCCATTGTCCTGGTCTTTTTACTCAAAGGCAAAGATTTCCGTCCCCCACCAGCACCACCACTCTGATGCAGAAGAATGCATCTTTCAGAACCAGTACAGTGAATCTGGAAAAAGTGGGTGACAAGGTCAATAGTAGAGTATACCAGCTGGAAACTACAGGGTGGACCATTACTCTTACCTGGTTGATTGCTCATAAATCCTGAACGAACTGGTATTCTGTGTTTTTCTTCTTCACTGGCAGGATGGTATGTTGAACTATGACTGACACGGTCTGAGCAGTCCATATTTCAGGTATCTGGTGAGATTTTTCCAAGTGCCTTTCAGGCTTCCAATCCAACGGGGTATTGCTTAAGTTAGACTGGGGGAGAATGCCAGTTTGGAGCTCAACCGCCACTGGGGGAATGTTTTTGGTGCATGCTGGCACCTTGTTGGCCCATACCCATGGGACCACTGCTTCCTTTATGTCTAGCCCTACTGATCCCTGGATGTGTCCTTCCATTCTATAATTTGTGAGCGACTCTGCAGTAAGGGCCATCTGCAGTCACTATCCATTCTCTGGTAGTACCTGCATCTGCATGGTCTCTTTAGCAAAAGAAATTTGTGCTTGCAGTTTGCACAACAAGTCTCTTCCAGCAAGGGAATGAGACAGTGAGGCACGTAGAGAAAATAATGTGTTAATGGCTTCCTTTGTATGGAACAGGTTAGAGGATGGAGGAAAGGAGGGTTCTCCTCTTACCTGAGACTCCCATGTGTGGGTCAGGACTGAGTGGGTTGCTCTGGTATCCACTAGAAACCATATAGGTGCCCCCCACCTTCATTATAACTAGAGGCTTAGGTGGGGGACTTGCTTCCAGTCCTCCTCAATCTGAGTCTTCCCCTATTGTCATCATGGGGCACTGGGGAACCCCATACTCTTTCTTAACTCTAGTTAAGAATATAGGGCACTCTGTCTTCCAATATTCTCTCTCTTTGCACTAGGTGCACTGGTCTTTGTCTAAGGAGAGTCTGGTCCTGTCATCTCCCTCTCTCCTCAGGGGCTCTCCTCTTCTTGGGCTTGCAGGAGACAGATCATTTCCAAACAGGGTAGTGTCCAGGAATGCGGCCTTTCTCTTCTGATTGGTGATTTTTCTGTTCCTTTTCCTGGTCCTGATTGTATATACCTGGTCGGCAAGCTTAACAAGCCACGAGATCCCCAACTCCACACCTCCCTCATGTTTTTGAAGTTTTCTGTGTATATCCTTGGCACTCTGCCCGATAAAAATCTTATTCAACATGTGAGCATTTTTGAGACTCACAGGGTCCATTTATGCAAACTGTCTAAAAGGCTCATACACACACCTTACACACTCACACAACCTAATTCAGTGCACCAACCTAATAACAGACACCTAGAGCATTTTATGCCCTCAACAGTCAATTCCTCCCTCTTTTTGGGGCTTGTAAGTCCTTACCTAGGAATTACCCAGTTATTTACAAAATAACTCCAAATACCTAGAGTCTTTAATGCCCTCAATGGTTAATTCCTCTTGCTTCTTGGGACTCTTCTAAGGTCTTAACTAGGTATGTAATAAATAACCAGGTCTGTTTTGTGTCTACCATGGAATTACCATTGGGTCCAAGGTGAATCAATTTCCAGGGCTTCTAGAAGGTCTCTGGGAGAAATCTCCTGGTGGCACCAGACTTTGGGAACAGTCTGTTGTCCGATCCACCTCTGGAACTTAGAGGATGACTCCTGGCTGACTTCTAGAAATTTTCCCAGGTGAAAACCCAGCTTCTTTTTGGCACAACTCATCTCATACAATAAACAAGAGACAGAGATGGGGGAGAAGAAAAGTACCTTTATTTCTTTGTGCAAGGAAGGGAAATACTTGGGGCTGCTGCTGCCATGACTCCTCAGACAGGGTGAGGAGAAAGGTTACTCATAAGGGGTTTACAAATAGGAAGTTCATACAAGTTACATCAGCAACATTATTAACAATAATATGCAGCTGCATTGGGGTGTACATATAACTTCATACATTGCATGTTCAGAATATGGCAGTTAAACTCCACCCAGAGGCACAGAAATTACTAAGTATGAGGTCAAAAAGTTTATCCTGAATGTCAACATGGCGCCTGAATAGGTTTCCGCCAATTTCCTCTAGTTTTGGAAAGCAGTTAAGGAGAGGGGAACCAAGATTTTAATGTAAAGCTATATAGGGCGTACCAAGCAAGCTGCTTTGAGACAGTGGAATTTTCTGCAGCCTGAGGAGTTCTGTCTTATCATGACCATCTTCACCTTCTAACTGCTTCAAACTTCTAAAAATATTTATGCTTACATGACAATATAACGTGTACCTTTTTCTTATATTTCAATAAATTATTTTTATTCAAATTTCATTGGCTAAACATGGGATTTTATTTCTTGATCCACAACCAAGAAAACAATTTAGACTCTAGTAGCTTCAATAAAATCCCAGTAATTTTGAAAAGAAAAAAAAAATGAAAAATTTTGAGGGTTAACGTGGAGCAACTATGTCCATAAGGCTTGATAACTGTCAACTATCCTTGTCACAAAGCACACCTACTTGAGTTAGAAATACAGTTTACTGCAAACCATGGGATTATCTGATTAGGCCTCTCACAAATATGGTATACAAAACTCAGTGAAAACATAGTGCATAATAAATATTGACCAGAGTTTAGGAAAGAAAAACCAATGAAACAGAAGCAGCAAACTTAACTCATCGTAGACTATCGTGTTAATCAAAATCAAACCTGTTGCCATCGAGTCGATTCCAACTCAGAGTGATCCTATAGGACAGAGTAGAACTGTCCCATAGAGTTTCCAAGCAGTGTCTGGTGGATTCAAACTGCCTACCCTTTGGTTAGCAGCCGTAGCACTCAACCAGAACATCCTGTTACCCAAGGAAATTCACATAAAAATAAACATTTAAAAAAGTTGTTCATATAGATAAGAAAAGATAACAACTCATGAAACAAGAAAGATGATTATTAAATAAGAACGACGAATGGGGAAGGAAGGGATTATGAACCTGGGAGCAACTATGGATGACTTTAAGAACTTTATCTTAATTAGTATATATTTTGATCTAGGCAAAATGAGTTGATTAAAACAAAGCCAGATGCAAAACTGAACCTTTGAATTGCTAAATTTCAAGCTATGTTGAGTTAACAGATTTCCATGTGAAAGTAAAAGCATAAATAAGAAAAGAATGGAACTTCAAGGTCTGGAAAGGGGACATTTGAGCAAATTTAGATAACTGAGTACTTCAAATCCTCAAGCTACACTGAGACTCCTAGCAACTTGGCCGGTGTCTAATACCTCCCTCAGAAGGCTATGAAGGCTAAAACAGAAGGCAACGGCTTACACAAACACATACATACACAAACACATGTACTGACACTGCAATTTTATTCTAATAGTTGAAAAATACACTTGAATCCTTGTAACTCCTTTTTTGTACCTAGTAATTTTCCCACTCCCACTCAGCATATCCACTCTCCTTACCTGATTTCATGGTCCCCAACACCTTCTCCTAGAGCCCTGCTGGTGCACTGGGTAAGAACTTGACTGCTAACCAAGAGGTCAGCACTTCGAATGACCAGCCCATCCTTCAAAACCCTATGGAGCAGTTCTACTCTATCCTATAGGGTCGCTAGGAATCAGAAGCGACTCAGTGGCAAAGGGTTTTGTTTTATAGCACATTTTCAAAAAAAAAAAAAAAAACAAATGCAGTACGATCCAGTAGATCCCAGCTCATCGCCAGCCTAAAAGACAGAGTAGAACTGCCCATAGGCTTCAAGGCTGTATATCTTTATGGAAGCCAACTGTCATACCTCTCTCCCATGTGGTAGCTAATGGGTTTGAACAACCGACCTTTCAGTTAGCAGTTGAACACTTTAACCACTGTGCCACCAGGGCCCCAACACATTCTTCTATACTAAAAAATTTACTTAATTATTATGTTTGTGATCCATCTCTTCCCTTCAAGGAAGGCAGAGGTTTTCACTCTTGTTCATCAGAGTATTTAGAAAAGTGACTGGCACATAGAAGGAAATTTCTAAATACGTGTGGAATATATTTGTGCTCACTATTCCCAATGGAGGCACACAGACAAGGTTTGAAGCCTATGATGGAATTTATAGGAACCATAGGATGCATCAAACTGTAGAAAAGACATTGCACATTTTTTTCCATGTCCTATGTAGGGCATATTTTACATCTTTGTTCCTCAAACTATAAATCAAGGGATTCAACATGGGGATGACCAAGGTGTAAAATATGGAAGCCACTTTATCAGTGTCAGTGCAATGACTGGACTTAGGCTGCATGTACATAAAGATTAAAGTCCCATAGAAAACTACCACCACTGTCAGGTGGGATCCACAAGTGGAGAAAGCCTTGTGCCTGCCCTCAGCTGAGTTCATCCTGAGAATGGCTACAAAAACAAGCAGGTAAGAAACAAGAACTATTAGAAGGGATGAAATCAATTCAAAAACTGATAAGATGAGAGTGATCAATTCAATTTCATATGTGTTTGAGCAGAGCAAAGATAACAAGGCAAGATTGTCACAGTAGAAATGCCTGATGACATTGTGGCCACAAAAGGATAAGTTAAAAATCTTTATGGTGACCAGAAGAGAAACAAATGTGCTGTAGAGATAGGGGATTGCCACCAGCACCCAACACGTCCTTTGTGGCATGATGACTGTGTAGAGCAGAGGGTTACAGATGGCCACATAGCGGTCATAGGACATTGCTGACAGAATAAAAAGTTCACTAGCTATGAACACAATAAAGAAAGCTAGCTGTGTAGCACAAAAATAATAGGAGATTGTATTTTCATTCACAACAAAATTTACTAACATTTTAGGTCCCACAGCTGTTGAATAACCAAAATCAGTAATAGCCAGGTGTCTGAGAAAAAAGTACATGGGTGTTTGTAGCTTGGAATCTATCTTGGTGAGGATGATCATGCCCAAGTTGCCCACCATTGAAATCATGTAGATGATGAGTAATAGCCCAAACAGTGGAGCTTGCAGCTCAGGGCGGTCTGTGATTCCCGTCAGAATGAATTCTTTTAGCATAGTTAGGTTATGTTTTTCCATCCTGGTCTATCAGGAAACCTATTCTGGATAGAGACATTAGCACAGTCAATACGTTTTATGTAGCATCATCCGGTAGATTTTTAGTATACAAAAGCAATATGCTAAATGAATAAGATAAATCAAAACTTTCCAGTATAGGTATTTGAAAGTAAATTCACTCCCACAAATAAAGTACAGGTCATGAAGATAGAGAGAGAGGGAAAGAGGGAGAGAAAGAGAATGCTAACTTGTTATCAGCTGGGGAAAACTGGCTCCCCAAGGAATATTTGTCATTGTGAGACATTTTGGATGTCACAACTAGAAGAAGGGTACTACTGGTTTCTAATGGAGGCCTGAGATGTTACTAAACGTTCTACTATCTTCAAGGTAACTCCCCACAATTACAAAATTTCCATTCCATAATGTCACTATGGCGGAAGTTCAGAAACTTTGTTATAGATATAGGTATTGAGATAGAAATACACATAGAGATAGAGATATACACAGATAAAGATGTAGGTTTAAATGTAGGTGTACGTGTACGTGTAGATGTAGATGTACATATACATATACATGCACATGCGCTTATACATATACATAGACGGGATTCAGGGTGGAGCAGTGGTTAAGAGCTTGGCGGTAACCAAAAAGCCAGCCTTTCGAATCTACCAGCTGCTCCTTGGAAAACCTTTGGGACAGTTCTACTCTGTCCTATAAGCTCTTTATGAGTTGTAATTGACTAGATGACAATGGGTTTGGTTTGTTTGTCTTTTATACACATAGATATATGAAGCAAAAATAAAAAAAAGTTAAAAATTTTATTTGTTAAGTGTATGATGGTTACTAAACTTTCTTTTTTATACCTAGAATGATGATTACATACTGCCATTTACAAAATTTTGTATGTATATTTGTTTCATTTTAAAAATTTTAAGGTGCAAATTCACCAAATGTTTGGCAATATTTAATATGCCTTACTTCAAAACATAGTCCTATAAAACCCCTTGTGCCACTAGTGGTATAGACTGAAACAACATACTTGACAAGTATTGAACACATGTATTAACAAGGAAAGTCTAATAGATCATAGTGGTAGGGATTATTTGTCTTTGTGCAGGAAAATATTCCAGGTGGTGAACCCATGCAGATATAGTCTCTGTTATACCTCCACTTGTGGGCTGTAGAATAAGATAACTTAATCTCTTTATCCACACTTGTGAAATGACCACAACCCCTTCAGGGTTGTTGAAAAAATAAATGAGGATTAAATGTGTCAATGTGTTTAAGGTATCAGGATTTAACTCTCAAATTCCAATTATGCAGTGTTTTTGTTGTTCTTAAGATGATGACAGTAAGTTACCTGAAAGGAATTTTCTTTACATATGCATGTGTAAATTCCTCTAGTGTGACTTAGCTTCTGCGTCAGAGTTATGATGATGAGTAGGTTGAGTAGCGTGTTATCCATGTCACTCATCCCAGCCTTTCCCTCCCCCATTCTCAATTTCATGACTAAAATTGGACCATCAGTGTGCCAGTCTTCCAGATTATATATCTTCTACCTTACTTAAAACATTTTAATATAAGTTGATTGATTGCTAATGTAAAGTTCTGCGCTTCAAACCTCCAGGGTCTCAGTGGGAGAATGATGTGGCAGTCTGCTTCCATAGAGATGTACAGACTTGGAAACCCTAGGAGGTCTCTACTAAGTCAGGATCGACTTGACAGCAGTTACAATACTAATTTACTTAAAATATATCCTAACCTAGGGGCATTTTCATTATAACTAATGTATACAAAGTTGTTTGTAACAAATCAGATATATTTTCTCATGGAAGAATCTAAGATTGTGAAAGGAAATTTGAGCAAACTGGGAGAAAGTGAGGTCCTTGTGACTGATTTTACATAATGAAGTTTCATTAAAAAAATTCATTTGGATAAATAAATCCTGTAGTTTAAACTATTGTATAGTACATAATGTATATAAACATAAGTATATTTAAATTAAAGTGTATATATATATCCCTAAGGTATGACAGATTAAAAGAAAAAATGCCAGAGAAAGATGAGGACGGTAGTTTAAGGGAAAAGAATTAAGGGTTTGAAATATACTACTTACAATAAAAATAGCAGTACCAGCATTCTCTGAGTGAGGACTAATCAAGCAAATAGAAAACTACAAAATTATCTATTAAATCATAAAATGGTTACAGGGGAGATACACTATCTCATATGAAACATTGCTTATAAGATTGTGACCCTATACTCACACATTGCTTATGTCAGAGAAACAACTATTATTCTCCTCTTGCCTAGAGCAAAGGAGAATGAAGAAAACGGAACACTCAAGGAAGCAATAAGTCCAAAGGACTAATGGGCCACATAGCCACAATCTCCTCTAACGTGAGACCAGAAGAACTAGATGGTGCCTGACTACCACTACAAACCACTCTGACCAGGATCACAATAGAAAGTTTGGGTTCGAATGGGTAAAGAATGTAGAACAAAATTCAAATTTGGAAAAAAAATTTAAAAAAGAAAGACCAGATTTACTGGTTTGAAAGAGGCTAGAGAAACCCCTGAGACTATTGCTCTAAAACAATTTTCTAACATAAAACTATAGACTCTCCCAGAGGCCACCTTTCAGCCCAATAACAGATGAGGCTATAAAATGAACAATTACATCTTTGAAGATTGTGCCGCTGGGAACAATCAACTATAGGAGACCAAAAGGGAAAGAAGGTGGGGAGGGACAGGGCAACCTGACTACTGGAAACAGGGAAACCAGGGAGGAAATGAGGAGAATGCTGACACATTTTGTGTGAGAATCTTTGATTGGAAAATTAATTTGCTAGGTAAACTTTCATCTAAAGCACAATAAAATGTTTTAAAAAAGTACTGAATGGGGTATCAGTAAACATTACAATTAGGATATCAACTATCTTCAGTGAATGCAACAAAAGTAATATATATCTTGTTTCTTTGCAATGATGTAAGGGTGAAGGAAAAAAGTACTTACATTTGTAAGTACTGGTTTTCCTTTCACTCAACCAAATTATTTTTCATAGTTTACTATCTTTGTTGAGTATCTAATATTCATTTTATAAAGCCTAACACTTTGAGAAAATTATATCTTCTTTCTGCTAGATTCCACTGGAAACTGAAGAATATGGTATATAGTATACTACCGTCATAAAACTGGGTACTTTTTTTTTTGTTTTGAGTTTTCCTAAACTTCAAAAGTTGTTTTTCGCATGTCAGTATGAATTGTGAGATGGAGATTTATGTTTCCTCATCAATACATTAGCAAAAATGCACATTTAAAGTTATTTAAATATGCATTGAATATTAAATTATACTTGAGAGGGACGTAAGAAGAGCCTAGAGGCAGGTTATAACTAAGGATTTGGAAAGACATCAACATTGGAGACTGAGTATTTGCAGCTTCATAATTCTGCTACAGTGTTTTTTAATATTGCATATGCTTCCTTTGCTTTGGTATTTGAGATTTATTATTCACATAATTAGGCCACCTGGGTGGCGCAAATATTTAAGCACTCAGCTTTAAACTGAAAGCTTGGAGAATCAAGTCCACTTAGATCTCGGAAGAAAAAAGCTCTGTTTCTGAAAGGTCACAGCTATTGAAAAACCTATGGAGCACAGTTCTCTGACATACATGCGGTAGCTATGAGGCAAAACTGACTCCAGGACAACTTTTTTTTTTTAAATTTACTGTACTTTAGATGGAGGTTTATAGAACAAATAACTTTCTCATTAAACACTACACGTCTTGTTTTATGACATTGGTTAACAAACCCATGACATGTCAGTACTCTCCCTTCTCGAACTTGGGTTCCCTATTACCAGCTTTCCTGTCCCCTCCTGCCTTCTTGTCCTTGTCCCTGGGCTGGTGTGTCCCTTTAGTCTCGTTTTGTCCTATGAGTCTGTCTAATCTTTGTCTAATAGGTGAACTATTAGAGTGACTATGTTACCAAGCTAAAAGGATGTCCAGGAGCCATACTCTCAGGGTTTCTCCAGCCACTGTCAGGCCAGTAAATCTGATCTTCTTTGAGTTAGAATTTTGTTCTACATTTTTCTCCAGCTCTGTCCAGGACCCTCTATTATTATCACTGTGAAAGTAGTAAGTGGTGGTAGCCGGGCACCATCTCGTAGTACTGGACTCAGTCTGGTGAAGGCCATGTTAGTTGTGGTCTATTAGTCCTATGGAGTAATATTTCCTTTGTGTCTTTAATTTTCTACGTTTTCCCTTGCTCCTGAAGGAGTGAGACCACTGTAGTATCTTATATGGCTGCTCACAGGCTTTTTTTAATGTAATTACTTAAACAAAGGAAAAATATTATTTAGCCATACAATGAAAATGTTTCAAAGATGCTTATGAGCACTTAGCCTCTGAAACAAACTGTGAATATTTGAAAAAAAAATAGTATGAAGAAAAAAGGAAGAGCAATCCTAGCCTCACACAGAACTGAATCAGAAATGCTAGCATTTTTCAGTAATTTTGCCATTGAATAATGGTGGGACCCTGCAAGTGTCACTGAAACATTCTGGATATTGGCAAAATATGGAAATAGTCTCTCTTTTTACCTGTAATGATGCCTCTGTCTTGACTCTCCCATGTGCTTCTTAACATGGCATACCGAGAAGAATTTATGGAATTTTTTTCACCCTTGGAGATTCTCCCTGAGGAGATGCCAAGCAATTTATTGACTGTCCCTGCCGCATTTGAAAGCTTAACAAAACATCTGGGGGTTGCCTGTTAATTGTCTAGGACAATGTGTATTCACCAGTGACCAAGTTTTTCTTCATACAGTGTGTGTGCATGTCTGTATTTATCTATTTCATACATTCTTAGATTTTACTCTTTGTTAATGTTCCATATTTATGATAAATGGTTCTGGATTATAATATTGATTCTATGAAACAGAACTATCAATATTCTCCATTTCCACAGTGGTCTCTTCAAGTGGGTGACAAAATGAAGAAGTGCTTAAATAGTCTCTTATCACATTATTTAAAAGACTTAAATGGAATAAATGTCATGTGTTGTGCATATGTGAGATATCACTTCCTTGTTTGCTCCTGTTATTGGTGCTGTTATTGTTATTGTTCAGGGTTTTTTTGTTTGTTAGTTTTTTTTTTACCTCAGGAA